GATCTGCGGCGGCACTTTTTCGCCATCACCCTACAAAAGAAGAGGGAGAAGAGGCAGGAGCTGAGTACACCGATGGGATGCACCGGCATCCAGCTTCGGAATAACCGGGTCGATGACTATCCAAGCAATGCGGTGTCGACCTCCAACAAGGGGTGGCATTCGCATTGGTTTTTATCTCAAGAACGATGTCGCCGCCCCCTTGCCGGAATTTACCGGGCGCTTAATCGAAGAGGCACTAGATTTATGGAGGAAGTGGGGTGTCCTGGAGAAGGGCAAGAAGAGGATCTTGGACCATCTCGCCACCATCCGCTTCCTAAAGGAGAAGAAATTTGAAGGGGCCGAGAATCATCGCCGCCTAGCATGCGAGGAGGGTGGCGCCACTAATGAGGCGCTTCCCCTATACGTGATGGCACCCGAGGTATCATTCGATGGGACGACGCTTGCCGAGGAGGTGCTCTCCACCTTCAAGTCGTGGCAAACGCATTAAGGAAGCAATGGAGCCTTGTCGGGATAGCGCGGGCGCCCCTTGATTTTGTGTACCGGTGATGTGGCACCCCGTCTTGGTTGGAACCAGGTACATTGTCCTGTAGGTTTTCTTTTCCTCATGCCTTCTTCTTCAATTGAACTTCCGACCCCTTGATATCGACATTGAGATTGGGGGACCAGCCAAGGGACCTCATCCTCATAGATCTCTGGCTCCATTACCGAGGGATCTGTCAAGTGAGGGCGGCTAATGGCTGAATTTGAGCTTGATGAGGAAGGCAAAGGAGGACGAGAGGAAGAAGAAGCGAGAAATGCGTCTTGGCAAGGAGCAAGGGAGGAAGCCCGACAATGACGACGATGACAATGAGGAGGACGATGAGGTAGTTGTCCATACCAAGTGGGATGACCGTAGAGTGAGGATATCTTGATAGGTACCCACTCATCCTTGCAGGGGTCGGGACCTTTCGTTTCTTGGAGAGGAAGGGTCATCCATGAGGCCGATGGAGACGGGCGGACAATCGGCCGACCCAAGAGAGGCTGGTGAGGCGGAAATGCCGTGTGCCCAGGTGCCAATGGAGAATGGTGGCTCTGCCGCCATGCATCAAGAAGCAGGGCGGGTGGATCTGCCCAGAGCCCGAGGTGCCAACGGAGGAGGGTGGCTCCATCGCTTGCCCGGATGTAAGGGAAGCGAGGCCCCTCCGCCTTGAAGAGTAGGGTGCGGGCTCAAAATGGCCCTACCCGATGAGGTGGAGCAGAGTCTAGGGTTCTCCCCTAAACGTGTTTGTCATCCAACAACGCCGATGTAAGTCACCGGCTCATCTGCTTCCTTTGTTTTTTCTCTGTTTTACTTTTTTAGCATGACTCACGCCTTTCTTTCTCATAGCGTCTTGAGGTGGCGATATCTTTTGGCGCTGGCACCAAAAAAGAGCGTCGCCCTTCAAGTGAGGTGGTAGCCATCGGCTGGCGTCGCCCCCATTTTGGGCGAGAGCGGTGCTAGTGCTACTACGTCGCCAGCCAGTGAGGCACCGCCCACAGTGGCGTCTGTGCCCTCAGCAGGGCAAGCAGGCGCCAGGGTTGAAGGAACACCCTTGGAGGTCATTGAGCAGCCGGCTGACAGAGGTGATTCCTGCCGCCGACGATGGGGTCAAGGAGCTGCCGACCAAGGCTGCGGTGCCGACCGGTGGAAGGCTGTTGCGTCGATGAGAGGCCCCACCGACGCAGGTGGAGGTGGCAGTGGCTGTGACAAACCAGGCGTAGCTGGATGCACCCGTGGTGGCACGCGAGGAAGCGATGTGATCCACGCCACCGGTGGCCAAGTGATGGCGCCCGATGGGCAAGAAGGCGGAGGAATGCGGTGAGGGTCCTCGGACGTTCTTGGTGGTAGCAGAGTGGACCGGCGGGGAACCATCCCTGGTCTTGACATTGGGGGAAGGTATTCGCCCATGCTGGGCAAGCCCCCGCTCGGTGGATGAACCGCAAGACCCGACGTCGACACTCTTCACCCTCGACGATGCTCACGAGAGCATGGGCGAGAGAGTCTTGATGAGGGATTGCGACCGCGCTTAAAAGCCTTGGACCATGCTAGGGGTGCCCACGTGAAGTCATCGTTCCCACTAGCTAGGTATTCACGCGACCTTGCCTCTCACCCTCCTTTTTCTTCATGTATTTTTGTGTTCTGACTATCATCTTTTTTTAATCCCTTATCGCTCATAGCCGGGAGAAATCCTGGTTCCTTCATGAGCAGAAGGAGAACTAGGACCACCTCATCAAAGAGGCCCGGCTGTGCGGGGATGTGGCCACTTGAGCTTGCTGCTGCCCAACAGAAGGTGGCGAGTGACTCCCACACGGACAAGGAGGCGGGCAGGTCTCCCAGACCACGGGAGGCCGAGGCCCATCGGCATGAGGAGGAGACCGAGAGGGCGTTCAAGGCCCTATTGGCGAGGGTGCGGCAAGATGAGGAGGAGGCCACCAGAGTCATGAGAGAGCAGGACTAGCTACTCTAGAGGGACACTGAGACCCACCAGTGGATCCTCAACCTCCTGGCTGAGGCCGAGAAGGAGCAGGACCTGAAGCTGGTTGCTGAGGAGAAGTTCATAGCCCTAGAGCGGAGGGGAGTCAGGATGCCAAGGCGGTCGCCTGGCTATGCAAGGAGCAAGATGAGCTACTCCAAACCACGGGGAGACTCCACTCGGAGCATGGCGCGGCCCACGAGGGCGCGATCAAAGCCATCCTAGAGCGCGATAAAGCATGTGAGAGGATCGGCTCCCTTTAGGTCGAGCTCAGAATCGCTACAACCCGGAGACTAGAGGCCGAGGGCATCTCTATCGGGCTATACAGAGCTCACCAAGGTGAGGAGGAACCTTCAGCGGAGAGCGACAAGCTCGGATATCTGAGTGTTGCCTTTGGAGTGGTCTGCGATGACCTAGAGGTGGTTCGGTCGGAGGGGACCAATTCTCTCACGGCCGTGTCTTGCCGATATCACTGGCATGGGTGCGCCCGACTCAAGAGGGACGCTCTTCATGCCGGTCACCCAAGCCTTTGCGATTGCTCATTCGCAGACGTGGATAGCATCAACTTAGAGACGATGAGCCTCGGTTTTGCACCTAGCTATGAAGCCTTGAGCTAGACGAGATAGAGGCGGTGGTGGCTCTCTATGTAGGACTGGCGAAGCGAATTGAAAATATAGTTCTCCCCTGGAGGGGTAGTTAGTTGAATAGGTCAGATGAACACTATTGTAATCTATGAATAAGCGCTGACCTTTATGTATCGTAAAAACAATTTCATAACTTTGTTTTGTTTGATTGAACTTGTTTTCTTCCCTTTTTGTAAGCGAAAAAAGGGGCTCACGTATTCCAACCCTTCTGTTCGTTAAGACCATAGGGCCTGAGGTGTAAGAGCGGAACCTTGATCGTGCTGGTGACCAAAGACACCATAGCCCGGCGAGGCATAGGCCTTTTTGCGATCTGTCCGAGGATGCTCGGTTGTTCGTTCCACAAACCATACCGCTAGGCTTAGCATGAGGAAGAGGTCCGATCTGACGATTGTTTGAAAATGTGTACTTATACCTTTATAAACCTCGAGTGAGATCCGGCCCTTTGCGTGCTTTGGGTCGGATGTCCGAAAAATCGAGGAGAGGATAGCGAAACTTAGTATGAGAAAGCATCTCTTGTATTGGCACGTACCCCCTCCCTAGGATCTTAGCTATCATTCTACAACCATGCATTCGGTCTCCTCACAAGTCCAACCTTCCTTGAGCCCCCACGCCAGAAGCGGGATTCAATCGAGGTTGGCTCATTTTTGTGACTATTGCCCTGCCCATAGTTTCCGCAACCAGAGGGGTTGAGTTAACGTCAGTTGCCTCGATGGCTCGAGTGATGCACTCGGTGAGCTCACTAACGAGCATGTTCAAATGGAATCTGGTTCCGTGGCTTGTGATGGGGTCGACAAAGCCCTCGTGTGGCATTCCGTTGCTCCTTAACCCGCCTTCCAATAGATTCCTCCTCAATAGGGATTTGTATGGGCTTGGCTAGAGGTTTGGATCAAACGAGAAGGTTGAGATGACCTTGTGCGCTTCTAGGTGGGATGGGCAAAGGTCGCTGGGGCTCATCTACATTTTCTCCCCGGCTTTTGTTCGATGTGAGGTGGCCTCGCCTTCATGTAAGCTAGCCTTGAACCTCGGTCTCTTGATCTAGGATCAAGGCGGATCGAGCCCCCAAGCCCCATGGAGTTTGGTAGGGG